TGTCTACCTATCGAGTCCTTACCCAGGACTACTACTACTACTACTACTACTACTACTACTACTATTTCTTCTTCTTCTTCTTCTTCTTCTTCTTCTTCTTCTTCTTCTTCTTCTTCTTCTTATTATTATTATTATTATTATTATTATTATTATTATTATAGATGCTATCAAATCCCAACTCCAGGAGACCTTGTAGATGTATCACACGAATTTTTGGCTGCAATTTGAAAGCAGTTTGCTCCTTCCTTCATCCAGGATGCTTTCCTAGTTGAGCCTAGGGATCTCCTGGTGGCCTCTTATCCAGCCCATTTCTGGCCACGCTTTATACCTTCACAACACCAGCCAGATACTACCACCTGCACAGTCTCCTTTAAGTCAATATCTGCTTTTCCAGATGGGGCTTGTAGCATCTGTCTCATTCCAGACTATAGGTAGTCCTCGACTTACAACAGTTCGTTTAGTGACCGTTCAAAGTCACAATGGTCCTGGAAAAGTGACCGATGACCGTTTTTCACACTATCATTGCAGCCTCCTCATGGATACACGATCAAAATTCAGACGCTTGGCCACTGGCTCATATTTATGACGGTTGCAGCGTCCCCGGGTCACGTGGTCTCCTTTTGCGACCTTCTGACAAGCAAAGTCAACAGGGAAGACAGGTTCACTTAATAATCAGGTTACTAATTTAACAACTTCAGTGATTCACTCAACAAACCTGGCAAGGAAAGTCATAAAATGGGGCCAAATTCACAACGGATGTCTCGCTTAGCAACATCAATTGGGGGGGGCGGGTCAACTTCGATGGTAAGTTGAGGACTACTTGCTTTTATTCCCCCTCAGCTGCAATTAGGAGCCCTGGATCACCTGGTGGCCTCCCGTCCGCGCAGAAAGCCAGGAGGGGGGGGATTAGAGGAGAGCCTCCCCTGAGGCGCCCGCCTTTGCCCCGCCCTTCCGAGCCCAAGCCAGCCCGCCTCTTGCCCTGCGCAGGCGCGCTCGGGGCGTCCCGCGCGCGTGCGCAGGGAGGGGGCGGCGCCCTCCCTCCCCTCCGAGGCAAGCACTCCGGCGCAGCCGTTAGTTTCTGCCCCCCCCACCTCGGCCGTTGAGGGATGGGAAGGAGGCGGGGAGGATTAACCCCCTCGTGCCCGCGTCGGCATCGGCGCTCCTTTCTCGCCCCCCCCCTCCTCCCGCGACTGAGGCGGCGCTGAGGGGAGAGGGCGAGCGCGAGCCGGGCCGGCCAGGCGCTCGGTGCATTGTGGGACGGACTGGGGCAGCCGGAGCGGCGCGGGGGAGTCCCGTCGGCGGGCGGGAGAGCAGACGAGACGCGGTAAGAGAGGGCCGCCGGGGGGGGGGGGCAAAAGAGGCGGGCGAGGAGGGAGGGGCGCTTAAAGGGGAACGCGCCCCCACCCCACCCCTCGGGGTGGGGGGGGGAAAGCGCGCGGGGAGAAGCGGGAGGAGGGGCTCGAGGAAAGCCCGGAGGGGCCTGAAAGCGCTCCTTTAAAAAAA